ACTGTTGTTTGTGCTGCCCGTAATAGATGGCTACGTTACGCTACAGTTTTGTAACTTGAAGTACATATAAACTTTTAGGTGCTTTGTATTGCTCTACTCACTTTGTGTTATTGAATGCTAAGATAAACAAAAATCTGCATTGTATGCATCCTAGGCAGATCAGACAGGTGTTTATATTTAGTGAAATTATGCTTAGCTATACAAAAGGGCTCAAGAATGTTACAGGCAATAAAAATGTACATTTTCAGGAGTTTGTACTGATAATCTAAAGTTTATACTCTTCGTCATATATTATTTACTGAATAATGAGTGTTAGCCTAATTACTCTAAATAAAAAAATTCTACGCTCATTAAATATTCGTAGTAGAGGGCATACATATTATGTTAAATGCGACCTTCAAGTACAACTTAAATATAACGTAGTTTCTTTCTTTAATATAATCATATACTTTTCAGTATTTTCAGTACTATTCCAGTATCCAGGAAATTTCTACGAGGCATGTTTTTTGTTCTTATCAGTTCTTTATTTCATATGACATCTGCCACATGAATATATGAATATTGAATTATGTTTCCACGTTCCATATTCTATCGAGGTAAACATGATTTTCTGAATTGTTATTTTCTACGGAATAGAACACATATCATAATATCTTTAAAATTATTGAAACGTTTTTTTTTCTTCAGCAGTTTTAAGAAGTTGCTTCCAAATAATTGTTATTTTTATTGATATATCTATCAGAATGCAGCTAACGCTATCAAGGAAGCAAGATGAATGTAACTTAAACTACGGTCTTGATTCCGTGTTGGAATAACGAAGAAGGCATCGATGTTTGCTTGTAAGTGCGTTTGTATCTATTCACCGTGGGGCTGTTAAAAATATTATCGAGCGAAAGTGCAGTGGGTTGGAGAAGAGAAAAGTAAGAGAATCTCGGATACGTCTTCCAGAATGTTATCCATTAATACTGGAACGGAGGTCAGTAAATTCGTATTGGCACCTACAATGTGTACAAGGCCTAAACCCGCCAACCACAGGCGCTTACCTATCTGCCACAACATGACATTCATGTCCTGATCTGGCTAAGATTTAGATCAGGAAATTTAATAACAGTAACAATATAATTTTTAAGTTGTTACCAAATTTCGTTCTATTACAAATTGGAAACCTATTGTTAATTGAAAGGTCTTGCCGAGAATACAAAACTAGTTTCGGAAAATATTTGCAGAAATCAAATTTCAAATCAGTTTTCGGAAAAATCAGACTAATTGTACAGTTTTGGCAAGAATACCAAATCAGTTTTAGAAAAAAAATTTTTTAATAAATTCTACTGTAGTAGACGTGATAAATGGTTGATATACTATGAACGTGGCCCATGCGGGAAGACTTGTCTTCTTGGTTGAACATTGAATTCAGCTTTTGAAGTTAACTCGGCTTCTTATGTCGATGAAAATTGTGTTTTTGTTTTAAGAGTATGTAAAGAATAAAGTAAGGATGGATAAATGTAAAGGATAACTCTTATTAATATCAATATTTAATCACTTGAAATCTCGCCTGTTATTTGCATTACTTATCAAGAGACTAGACTTTCATTGCTTAGAATTAGTTTTCATATTAATATAGCTTAAATATCCACAGATGAAAATAATGTAAAACCTCTTTGGTAAGCACAGCATTTACATAGGTACATACTATCTGATATTTACATGAGATGAAATAATTAGAAAACCGATTTCACAAATAACTGACAAATACCTAATAAATATTTATACTGACAAAAATTATCCATAATTAAAGCAGGACCCTGTTCATATGAACTACCTAATACGATAGTTTCTCTTAGAAAGTTCTCCAAGAAAAATCGTATTCCTCCACTCGTATTCCGTGTAAGCAAACAGATTTGCTTTCCTTTAATTTATTAAATATAAATATCAGAACTGTAGGTACGCAGTCACTTCGAATAGCTATTTTTTACCTAATACGACATGGCGGTTATCTTCGGCTATAAATATAGATATATTTAAATATATAAAATTTATATTATGAATCGGAAAATGCTGAAACAAAATTTCTCTAATTTTATTTCATTACAATTATCACTCAATTTACTGGATTAGTATCTCAAGAATGTAAAGCAATTAATAAAAAGTACAGTGAAATCACTCGCTGCTCCAACAATTCGGACTTCTTTTGGAGGTGGCTTTCTTTTTTTATAGCCAATACAGACGTTTATTTATATTTTTAGAAGTGCTGTCATTTTCAGCACTATCGTCTATAAAATATAATCGCAAGAAGAAATGTTATTATAATAATATTTCAAGTGTACAAGTGCACAGGGGGGAAAACCCCAGGAACAAAAGCCAGGAAGCTTATTAAAACATCGCACGCAATTATCCACAAATTTCCACTTTCACGTCTCACAAAAAATTGTCTTTTTAATATTTTTAACATCAAAAGTTTCCAATAAAATATCTGCTCGTGCAACGGAAGGATATTCATTTATGAACATTCTTTTTATAATTAATTGAATTTTTTACGACATCATTTTCGATACTTTAGCAAATTTCTCAAAGTAACTTCTTTTATGAAAAATGTTTATTCCCCAGTGTAATCATTATTCGAACAGAAACTGTTTCACTGCTTTTGCGCCCTTTATACCTTGTTCGCAAATATTTTACCCGGAACTTTATGAGAGTTTATACGTTCCTCGGTGACTATATCTGTATTTAGGAAACTCTTGTACTCTTTATAAAAAATAAAAGCCCAAAAAGGTAAATTCCCGTATTGACCGAGATATTTAATTTCAAAATTATGGATATTCGGTGTCATTTCCAACTTACCTAGAGAAGTCGATTAATATTAAACAAATTCGAATAATTTAAGTTTATAGTTTTTCCTTTAAATACAATTCAGATTTTTTTGTGATTTACCAGCGTGTAACATTCTTTAATTTTAACTAATTTTTAACTTTGTTACAAGGGGTATACCGAAATAATTTCACACAATGATTTATAAATATTCGATCTTAAAAATACGTTATTGATACTCTCCAAAAGATTTATTACTTTATCCCCATAATCCAATGATCATATTAAAATTTCTTTTAAATAGAAATATTTTTCGTTTTTAATTCGTACAATTAGTGTTACAAGTTAAATATATCAAATATAGGAGCCTACTAGTGCATTCAAAAACACGAACTCTATATCTATATATCTATCTCTCTATATATACATAAAATACTATTAGTACATTTCAAATGTTACACAGATGAAATTCTCATCACTCTATTTGATAATATTTTTTCTAAACTGACGTTTCATTTTTAGTTGCTTGCAGTTGCAAACATTTCGTTTTTCAGTTTTTGCACGGCCCATAAATATGATCTCTAATTTTAAAATCAAATAAATCGATCATTTCATGCCGTACGTGGATCAAACGCTTTGTATTTTATTTTTTATAATGAGGTTAATTTTTTAAATGTAATAACAAGGACAGGGAACCAGATAGAATGTTAAATTTCTTAATTCTTACCAAATTGATTTTTTTTAATTTAAAATTGTCAAAACACGAATATTTGGGTTACTTAAAATATTTTTGTAACCAGAAGTTTATATCTAAGTCCAACAGTTAAAGAAGTAAAGACCGAATATTTGAGGATAGGTGTAAACTGAAATAATCATTTTTATTAGAAAATATGAAGTTTTCCAAGAGTAAACCATCAAATTTATGGCTTTAAAAAAAGTGAAAATAACTGTCTCCACATTTTGATTAAGTCGGACTTCAGTTATGGGGAAGGGAGTTACAGTATTTGCAAAATTTATCAAAAATCCATTATACTATTAACTATCTTAACATTAATTTAGATATTGTCTTCTCAAAAGCAAAATAAACTAAAAAAAATCATAATTTAAGCGCAAGAATAGTCGTTGATCCAATACTGTAGAGTACAATAAACTCCAAGATCAAAATTTTATGTTTAACACGGAATAATTGCTGACGTTGCCTGCTGAATACAAGAATAATCTTTGAATCAAAATTATATACTGCATAATCTTCTAAATAAAATTGTTTCAAATTTAGTAGATACTGATCATATTACGTATTGTCATTTTCTAGAGCTTGCACTGAAATATAATGAGAATAGAACAAGAAAATTTAGAACAAGAAGCGAATGAATTACTTTCCGGTATACATGTCTAGACTGGCTTAGGACGTGTTCTGTGTCCAAATAATGCCTTAGTATTAAAAGGTCATACTTTTAAACATGGAAATGCCAATATATTCCAATGATTCAATCGTTATTGTTCTAGACTAAGTATAAATTGTTAAAAAGAAGAAAAGTTAAAAGGTAATTCGTTTGACTGGATAGAATAATGAATTACAATTTAATACTGGTGCACTTTCAGGAAAGTAGAGCTAAGTTAGCGGATTTAATATGGTATGTATTTAAAACAAAATGTTTTAGCAAAGCCAGAAATTCAAGCCAAAAATCTTCAGTTTCTGCCTCAAAAGGTGCCATCTTAGGTATATATTTTGTTTTCCTAAAAGTATATTACTGGGTAGAAATTTCTATGACGTATATACTGCGCTATGAAATTAGATAATTGTTTATTTTTTCTCGCATTCTTTGTTTTACAATTTTGACAAAAGTGCCACAAAGAGCCTTGAATGTGCTACTAATAAAAGAAACCCTTTTAAGGTTTTAAGAGTAAAGCATTTTAAAAAGCTACTGTTTTGCAGATAATTGAATCTTGCCCTTGGAAGCAAAGGTTTGCAAGTTACCGTTTCCGAAATGTTTGTAGTAAAAACTGAAAATTCAAGGCAAACGTTCAGAAAAAGTTTAATTACTGTATCACTAATTCTGTATTTAATGCTACATAATATCATTTTCAGTATTCTACTGCTTCTACTAACATTTTCAATATCATAATTAGGAATCGAAGTACATTTAAGACTTATATAAAAAAATAATTTTTCTTATATGGAATTTTCTTTTCAGTCAGACCAACAGAAGTGCAGATAACTAGCATGTTCCGACCGCTGTCAGCCAATCGACCAGCGGAAATAGTGTGCGTGGCACGAGGGGCTCGCCCACCGGCTCAGATTTCATGGTGGCTCGATAATGACCAGCTGACATCCCAAATCACGGAAAGTACCTCAAAAGAAGATAATTTGACTGTAAGCAGCTTAATTTTTAATCCCAGCAAACATGACAATCAAAGAAACTTATCCTGTCGAGGAGATAACCCTCAGCTGCCAGATAGCGTGCTGGAGGATTCTTGGGTCATGGATATTCACTGTAAGTAGTTTCTTCTACATTTGCAACAAACTTAATTATTAAAGTATTCTCGTATTTTAATTTATAGTATTAAGGGCTAGAAAACAACGTAATGATAACAAAGCAACAGCAAAATGTCAGAGAATCTGTTGTTGTTTCAGATGTTTTATTGCACTTTATATCTGACTAAGTTCCGTAAGGCATAACGTTGTTTATGTATGGATTGCATGAATTGTAGGCAAACATCAAAACGGTATTAATTTTATGTCCATACAGGAGAAAAAGTGTCCAGTGAATGTCCGCGAATTCTTCAGTAATATTTTCCTTCAGATTGACAAGATTCTGAACGATTTCACTCTAACGCAGTATTTCCACAAAACTCCCAAAATTTCATAGTAGTCAATGAATAGCTAACTTTCTAAAAAAGAGTGTCAGAGAAATCCAATTGTAACTGTAAAATCTGTCCAATATGAGTGAGGATTTTTATGAAATGACGATCTTGATCTGAAAAAGAAATTGTCCTAGTTTTTTAAAGTCCAAATATTAGACTCGAAACATGATTTTGCATTGTTTCACTTAAATGCTTTGTTTCGCTTCTCATTCGAGACTGTTGCCATTCGATTAATTTTTATAGAATTACATTGTTTATTTTTTCACTTTTCAAATATACTGAAGATATACAACATTCCCATGTTAACATAAATACGTATTCTTCTTCTGGATCATCTATATTGGTAATCTCTGCTGATAAAACAAATTAAAATTTAAAAGAGTCCTTTTACGCAGCAGTTAAAATCTGAACCCTTTCAGGCTTTTTCTTTCTTTATTTTTTCCTTAAATTAAAAAAAATTATTCTAAGAAGTTTAAATATACATTAATGTAACAACAGCCATAAGCCTTGCTATTTCATTTTCGGCCATCATATTTTTTCTCTTGATCATACTGTAATAGCACTCACTTTTAGAAACATATTTACAGGAAGAGCACATAACGAGATGGAAAATTATGTAATGGTTTTTGAATGTATCTGAAATACGCATCCTGAGATTAATGTGTTTTATATTTTCTACATTTGTATACATAATTATTTTTACTACTAGAGAAACTATTTCTATTTTCTCTGCTTGTTATATAACTATGATAAATTCTATAAATTTACAATAAGATAGAATCTGAATAAAAATAATTTTTAATAATTAAATAATATATTCTAATATTGAATAATATAATTCATTTTTAATAATTAAAAAATATGTTATTAAATAATAATAATAAGTTTTTAATAAAATTTCTTTATAATAAGAAAATATCTGACAAATTCACAATAAAAAAATATCGGAACCCTTTCAGACTTCAGATTTTTTTCTTTTTTTCCTTAAAATAAAAATTCTAAGATATTTAAATATACATTAATTTAACAACAGCCATAAACCTTGCCATTTCTTTTTCGGCCATCATATGGTTTTCAATTGATCATCCTGTAATAATACTCACTTTTAGAAAATATGTACAGGACGTACACAGAGTGAGATTATGTAATGGTATTTGAATATATTTAAAAGACACATCCTGAGGTTAATGTGTTTCATATATATTACATTTGTATACGAAACTATTTTTACTACTGGAGAAACTATTCTTGCTTTCTCTGCTTTATATATAACTATGATAAAGTCTATAAATTTACAATAAAAAAGAATATGCACTAATAATTTTAGATACACAGGGAAAATTGGAAGCAGTAGGCCTATATAACGTGAAACATTTTGCAGCATTATGCAAAAGTTTAACACAGTAATGATTTGAAATAGGTAGCATGTGGTATTTTTATTGCAGAGCTCATGTGCAGCTTTGAAAATCATCTTCAAACCATGAAGTTTATCATAGCCAATCACATACACTACTGACAAAAGTTTTCTCTGTGATGAATTTGTTATGCAGTCAGTTTGAAAATATATTTATTACTAACTTTTATTTTGGAATTGTGATAATATAAAATTTGAAATTTAAAATAAAGTTTTATTATTTAGATCTGAAGTTTTTTCCTTTAACGCGAAGTTTCGAATACAAAAAAAAAAAGCCTTGTTATTTGTAAAATGACATTATATCGGTTAAATATCATAAAAAGGATGTCTAATTCACATTTATGGTAAATTTCTTTTTGTAAATAATTTGATGAACAAGATAATTTAAGAGAAGTAGATAATTTGGGAAACACTGAATTTTTTAACTTAATTTTAATTTTCCTTAATAGAAATTTAAAATGAAAATTCGCGTTCTCGTTTTGTAAAAGTTATGTAAGCCACATTTAAAAGTACTTAAAATGTGAAGCTTAACGTTTGGTAAAAATGCACAGTACTTTAAAATTCATCATTTAGCGAGAATTTTTGTATAAGAAATATATTTGCTTTCAACCAACTTTCATATGGAAATACATTTATATTTTATATGGAAATTTCATATTAAATTACATTAATGTCATTAAGACTAATTAAGAAGAGTGCAGACTGCACAATATGTGGAATTCCACTTATCTGATTAAGAGAAATGAAACCTGTACAAAATACTTCCTAAAATACTCATTTTTTATGGATCTAATTTTAAATTAATTTTTTTAAAGTACCAAATTTTAAGCAAGCCATCTTAACTTGAATTTATGACTAAAAAAACCCCTCTTAATATTCTTTGCTTTACGTAAGGAATTTATGTGAGAGCTTACAAAGATTAAGTTCGTTTCCTGAAAGATTGAGGAGATTAAATAAGGCAAGAGACTGGATAGTAAGGGTTGCCTAAAAACGTCCTGTTCTGGATCAAAATAGAGAACTTCGAATTTTTAGACTTTTCTTATTTTGCTATACGCGTTTTTTGTTATCTTTACTTGAAGTACTGAAAGTAAGTCAACAGATTCTTTAACGAAACAAACAAAACGAAGTTTCCTGCCGCAGGTTAAGAAGATTCTACTTCCAAAAGTGGAAGCTTAAGTAAAATTTTATAAAACTCTTTTCTTAAAGTAAAAGGAATGCATAGCAAAATAATATTATTAAAAATTAGTATTTAAGGCGTTCAAAATGTGGCTACCAGCTTTGTTTCCTTTAATATTGAGCTCATTTTTTATCTGAAGGTCAAACTGTTTCTTAAAATTTACAGATATAAAGTTATAGAATTTGAAAGAAACATTTTTAATACTATGGGTGGAAAGGATTTCTGTGAAAATATTTTGTTTTATTTTGTGTGTGCGTATGTGTGTAGACCTCTCGTGAAACACAAATTCTGTTAGTAAAGTATTATGTTTTGATGAATTAAAAACAAAAATTTCCAATTGAAGAAATATAGGCAAGAATTTATTGATTTCATTCATTTTTCAGTGTCAGTTAGGGACGTAACTGATTTCTAGGAACAGATTTACGGGAGCAGCTACAGATAAATAGTTGCTCTTCAGAGATTAGTGGTTTCATCTTAGGTATAACAGCATTTGCTATTAAATTTGCAGGCTGCTTCTTAAAAATATTTATTAAATATATGCCGGCGAATTTTCTACGCAAAGGATGAAACATTTAGCTTTTGAAATGTCTGCAATGTAGTTTTCGTATATTGAACCTTAGGCTAAACAACACTATCCGATCATCATCTATAATTTATCAAGCAACATGGCAAACAGAATATTCTGCAAATATTTTAACTTATCGTTCAAATTATAGCTCTGTTTTGCATACAACAACTGAGCGGTGTAAAATATATGCAATAACATTATTAATTTTCTGCTATAAATTTGAAAACAATTTAAATTTGAAAACAATACGTACTTTAAATTATTTTTGTAAACTATTAACTGCAAATCATGAGAATTTTAAAGTTTTATTAAAGACTTCATTTCCTTAACATAACTTAAATTTAATCTTGTCTTATGATAAATGGAAGATATATTCAGTTAAGTTTCTTTTTAACTTAAACGTGAAGTCTTTTGATTGTTTTATTTGTCAACCATATAATAGATTATTATTTGTCAACCATATAAAGCATAGAATGCATTTAATATGTAACTAACATGCTCATCAGGTTTAAATCTTTAGCACGAAACGAAACATTGTACAACTTTGTTTTGATTTTTTTTATGTATGTACTATCTGCAAGCATTAATCGTTAGTTTGTCATCTTCTTAAAGGTTTGCCATAGAATACGAAAAATTTGTTAATTCTCGCAGCTCATGAAGAAGTAGTTTGAACAAAACACCCGCTCTTTGCAAAGACACTTCTTAATAAAGAATTACAATAATAATAGTTTTCGTAAACTGCTACGCTTTCAAAACATTATATCTTACATTTCACACAGAAAAAGATTAAATTTAAATAACTATCTATAAAATTCAGCTTCTTCTTTAAGAAAAATAAACATCATCATCATCTTAACTTAAGAAGCGCATTATGTAGACGAATAAAACGTGTTACGGGCCAAGTTTACTTTTTAAAATTTAACTTGCAAGAATATGCAGTTTTCTTTTTAATTTCTTGCACGAAGTAAAGAAATATCGTAATAGCGAAAACGTTCGGGTATTATATTTGAAAGGAAATATGTATTTTGACAGTTCTCGAATCCATGTGGTCATTTTTTGTTCGTGACGTATGTATGTAAGGACAGAATAAAAAAATCATTTTCCGAAAACGGATTTAAACTTGATTCAAAAGAGATTTTTTTCGTGACGTCTGCACATCCGGACCTAAGAATGTATGTACATATGTATCTCGCGTAACTCAAAAAACGTTTAGTCGTAGAACGTTGAAATTTTATATATGGGAATTCTATAGCATCTAGTCGAGCGCTGCTCTTTTTTATTGCAATCGGCAGTAGAAACGTATATACAGGGTGTTCACTGCCACGCCTATCGAATTAATTTCTACCTTTTCGTTGCCCTGCGTTGGCAACATGCTTTTGAGATTGGTCTTTCGTAGGATTCGGTCGCTAAAAGCGTAGCTGGCCTGTAACGGTTGTAATTATTATTTTATGCTTATCTGTACTTCTGAATT